TCCTCTCCTCTATCCCTCTTCTATCCACCTCCCACTCTCTCCCTATTTATTTCAGAACCCCCTTCCCCTCCCCCTTTTCTGATGAAGGGTCTAGGCCCGAAACGTCAGCCTCTCTGCTCCTATGATGCTGCTTGGCCTGCTGTGTTCATCCAGCCCTGCACCTTGTTGTCTCGGATCCTCCAGCATCTGCAGTTCCTACTATCTCAGATGGTTTTGTGGGTCCATTTAAAGCAATGCTAGTTCAGTATAAATGTAGGTTATGTAGCCACAGACTGTTACAACCGAATAGGTTTGAGGAGAGATCTACTGCAATCTTTTTTTGCTTAAAGTAATTTTCATAGTTGGTTACCTGTAATTTTTCTTGTACTAATAAATTTCTGTACAAATGGAGAGTCAGTGAACAGAAGCTCAAACATCTTGTCTGCACTCATGTTGAATACTCTGTTGATGTAAAGTTTACCCTGAAGGTCACTGCAAGAAGTCTTCTCTTCAGCTGCAGAGACACAAATTAAAATCACATAAGAATGATCTAATGAAAAGGTTTAAAATCTACTGTATAAACAGCATATGATTCAGTTATATTAGAAGCCTTACATTTGGCACGCACATCTTTAATATAGAACATACTTGCACTCACCTATCACCATCACACCTACCTTCCCCAGCCCCACCCTTCCTCTATTTATTTTTGAGCTCCCTTCGCCCTCCCCACTTCTGATGAAGGGTCCCAACCCAAAACGTCAACTTTCCTGCTCCTCTGATGCTGCCTGACCTGTGTTCCTCCAGCTCCACACGGTGTTATCTATAGCAAACCTAACAGTTCTGTTTCCCACAGAGCACTCCAAGACCATCAATAGGTGGCACTGTTATCTACTTTCCCAAATATTCTCCAAGGTATGTGGTGTTTTCACCTGTTAACCACACAGGCTTAAGAAAGTGGTGCCATTAAAGAAAGTGGTGAAAAACATGGATTTCCTTTGATCAGGAAGTGGAATTCTAGAAAACACACTCTCGTATTAACCAAATTCATGCAGCCTGGACAAAATGCCAAATTTAAAGGCATGGAGGACTGATCTCATGACACGCTTTTCCTGTTAATTCTCAGAAACATTCTTTAATACTTTAAAGGCTTAAAAAAGGGATGGAAAGATTCTTTCCTCTCCATCTTTCTACAGGTCCTGAATAATTTTCTCTTCGCAACCATCCTACAACACAAGCCGCGTGTGCGTGGTAGATGATTGTGTGCCACTGAAATTGACTGGTTTTCCTGCATCATTGAATATCTTCCTAGTGCACTGCCAAGGTTCACGTACACAAAAGATGATTTTTCTTATCCAATATCTTGCATAAAGCCAGGAGATTTGAATACTTGAAGTTCATTGTAAAATTTAAGAACCAACAATCCCGTTTCTTATTGCAAAAGGTTTTAAAAATCAAATCCCCAACATATTGTTCATACCTTCATTTGCAAATTCAGATACATCTGTTCTTTCAGCAGGAAGATCTTCATTTCCATTATAGTCTAAAGAGGATGAAGGTGACTTGCTGCCAACTCTATTATTTGCCCTTTCAAATGTAGCAAGGGGTTGATTATGTTCTTGTTTCTCAGCCCGGACTTCTTCTCTGGGGGACTGAACATAGATTTAATGCTTTTCAGCAGAAAACTCTCATTGCCTGCCAACAAAATGCTGAATAACTGAATTTGATAATCATCCACTCAAGGTTTTGTGCCTAATCCGAAGATTGTTTCATTTCATTTTGCAAGGAAGTGAAACAAACTACAGGCAGCCAAATGGTAATGTCCCTGGAATCAACAAGAACGGATTTTAGCAGCTAAAAAAATTTTTTAAAACTGGCATAAAAGGATTCTGCGTGTTTGAAACTAGAGGGGGGAGTCTCAAGGCAATTCATGGACCTTCTTTTGTGTAAAAGAAAGGAATGACATGTTGCTGATGAAAGGATAGAAAAACAAAATGGTTTCAATTCATTAAATGTAGCAGAGTGGAGAGTATTTAGAGAGGAATCTTGCTTTTTTTCAAAAAAAAATATAAAATGAAACAATGTAAATGCAGGCTAACACCAGGAGACACTACCACCCAGGGGTGGGATGGTATCTCTTCATGCAATTATATGCTTTTCATGGATAAAAATGTCAAATTTTAATGAGCAGGTAGATGGTGGGGAAATGTAGTTGGTGATGGTATCTTTACTTGTGTGAAGGTTTCGCTGACACAGCCTTTCGCTCACATGCGGGTAGCTACAACATGTTGAGTAGGCCCTCTCACGGTACACCACACAGTGTCCAAGACCCACTCCCCTCTTGGGTGGCGGTTGGTTTGTCTACAGGTGCCACCGCCACTAACCCCCCCTCCCCCGGCTGTCTGTGAAGAAATATCAGCAATGAAGTGTTTGTTTTCCATTGATATCTTCCCATAGTTATTAAGTTGCTCATGTGTAGGGTAAAAGCCTTTCTTTCAGTCCCCTCTACGAGGCGAATCCACCACGAGCCATGAGTTTTCGTCTTGCTCATCCTGCCAAGGTCATTGTGGGGTTGTTCTGTACATTGAATTACTTTTCAGGTATGTGACAAACAGATTTTAGGTGGACTTTATTGTCCCCTGTGGTACGCTCTCCAGTCTTGGAATCTTCAGCTTACATAAGGTCTCATCCCCATGGCCTTGTCTTTCAGATACAGAGCCCCGTGTATATCCTGCCAATGTGGAACAACACCGACCCCCACTCCTAACCAAAGCACCATCAGCACGACTGGGGTGTGTGCACGTGTATGTTAGGTGCTACCCTCTCCTCAGAGTTACATGAATCATGGTTGGGTTGTTGGAGTTAGGAGGTTAATAACAGTTTATTCACTTGTATTCTGCAGCGTGAGGTTCCCTTTAGTAACAAGTCCTGAACTGAGTGCTCATACAATGGTACTGTTCCTGTTTCAGTTTCCATTCCTATAGTTGACTATATTTGTGTTTGCATGTGATCTTACACAGCACATTTCAGTCCACCCCCACGTGTTATGTACCTCCTTTGGGAGGCCTTATTTGGCAGACTGACGTAGGAAAGAGATGGTTTTATTAAATTTTTCCCATTTGGCTTTGACACCCTCGATACTACATTTCCACACCAATTCCCCACCATCACCGTCAGTTTCTTTCTTCTAGCATCCCTTCCCCAAGGCTGCTGGCCCTTTCACTATATCCCTCAATATTCCTTCTCTACCCCCTTAACCAACTCCCAAACCGATCCTCACGCCGAGTCCTAGCCTTACACCATTGTGACCATGCTACGGCTTTAAGAGGTGTATTCTGTCCTGTTTCTTTTAAAATGAAGAGAGGTTGCGACAGAGGTACCAAGCAGTCTGTTCCAAGCCAATGCAGTAAACAGTTTGGGAGGCCTTGGGGTTCATTTTTTTAAAAAAAATGTTTGAACAGTAGAAATAACAAGGAGTGGGGTCAAACTCCCACAGAACCAGGATTTTAGTTTAACTTTCAGTCATTGCTGGGATCTTGAAGCTGGATATGGAAGCTCTTATTCCTCTCTTTGCTACAGCTTAGAAACATAGAAGATAGGAGCAGGAGGCAACCAATTGGCCTTCAAGTCAGCTCCGTCATTCTTCACTATCATGGCTGATTGTCCAACTCAATAGCCTAAAATCCTGCTTTCTCCCCATAACCTTTGATCCCATTCGCCCCAGGTGCTATACCTAGTCACCTCTTGAATACATTTAATGTTTTGGCATCAACTACTTCCTGTGGTAATGAATTCCACAGGCATATTGCTCTATGGGTGAAGAGATGTCTCCCCATCTGTCCTAAATGGTCTAACCCGAATCCTGATACCGTGACCCCTGGTTCTGGACACACCCACCATTGGAAACATCCTCCCTGCATCTACCCTGTCCAGTCTTAAAAGCCGGGGTTCTCTTCCTGCTGCTGGAATTGCATGTGACACAATCTATTTTACTGAATTTGCCTTTGGCAAGCGTGTGTTTATGGGATGCTGTGATATCGGAACAGTTACTGTTGAGCAGTCAAATAATCTATTATTCTGCTAAGTTTTCCAATAGAGTTAAGTTATTCCAATTCTTCTTCCTTTTGTTTGCGTTTTAACTATGGTGTATGAATAAAGCGTGTTTTGGTTGAAGCCTGGTAGTTTGATCAATCAAATTGCATCTGGAATGCAATGCCTGGCATTTGCCTTTAAAAATAAGAAAGCCTTGGGGTCTAAGCTATCTTAATATATTTTGAGGGGGGTTTGGTCTGGTCTGTGACACCAGCCCTTATTCAATTCACCTATTCTTCCTTCCTTCCCAGGTCATCTAATTACCACATTCTGTTCAACACCCAAAACATTAGTGTCCCATCCTGCAATTCACCGTTCCACTCCTATCATGGTGTCCAACTCCACACCACCCCCCAATAAATCCCGGTTTCCTCCTTTCATTTCCCAGGGTCCTCGGAGTGCCCCCAAAACACCACGACTTTTGTATTCCATTCCCTTCCACCTTTTCTATCTGATCCAATTTTAAGAAAATCTGACCCTTTGGGGTGTTGAGTCTCACCGAGCTGCCCTGGTCAGGTTTTCTGGCATCTGCCACTGCTGTTGCCTCACTTGGGCAGGCTTGTTGACCTTCTTACACTGGAGGCCATGTTGCAGAAATGCCCTGGTCACAAAGTCGTTGAAAATAAAAAAAAAAAGTCACTGAGGAAAATTTGTACTCACTAGAGCCTGGAGGAAGTAGTCTGCTCTAGCAGGCACATGCCTCATACTTAGATATTTTCTAAAATCAACCTCTTCCGGAGATGTTACTACACTCTTCTGGAGCAGGAGGGACTTGAATTAAAGGCCTACTGACCCAGAGGTAGGGACAACACCACTGCACCACAAAAGCCCTCCTCCTGCACCTGGAATTCCTGGTTAGTCTCCCATCCAATTACTAACCAGACCCAAAGTCCAGCTAGCTAATGTTCAAGAGCAGATGAAATTGGGTGTCACTTGGGGTGTGAACACATACTTCCTATTCTTGCCAAACAGGACTGCGCCCATCAGAGCTTCCAGCACAATGGGGGAAGATCCTGCTTTGAGACTAACTATTAACAGTCAGACATCCATTTCTAGCCTGAACAAAATACAGGCATCTAGCAGAAACACCAGAAAGAAAGAGATTAAAAAAAAAAAAAAAAACACTCTGGACCTCCTAATGCCAACCATGATAGATAATCCATCTTCAGCCAAGCCCCCATTATCTGCCCTAGGAACGAATTTCTTCAGGAAGAAGTCCACCTCATGGTTGTCCATTTTGTGCTGAGAAAGAAATTATGATTGTGCAGGTGATGGGAGGGTGCATTGAGGTGGGGGGGTGGGGGGGGGGGGGGATTAAGAAACCTGGGTCATGTCAATAATGAGCAATTCCTTGATGATTCTGCACTTAAAGCAAAAAAAAACAAAGAAGTACAAAAATGTTGGACTGCTTTAGTGCAAGTTCTGGCTGCCTGTCACAAATCTTGAGCAGCCCCACAATCAGTCCTGAAGGAATTTCACTCAAAGAATAGCCACAAAACAATTTTGTAAAAAGGTTATGTTTGTGAGGAACTTGGGCAAACAGGAGTGCTCCTTCTGGCTCAAAACAGATACGACATATCACTGCTGGTCTGTATTCACTCCCTCCAGTGAACCATAGGCCATTCAAATAAAGAGCTGCCAAGTCTGGCACATTCAACAAGGCTAAGAACTTACTTCCACTGGCTCTCAGCTTGTTTTGGTACAAGTCGTACATTTACAGATGGAATAAATGGCAACAGCAACTTATGTTTACATTATGAGTATATAGCACTTTAATGTCCCACAGCGTTTTACGTAAAGCAAAACCTAACACCAAGGTGTTAAGTTAAGACAAGTGATGCTCGGTCGAAGAGATAGATTTAAGGAGCACCTTTAGAAGAATCAGAGAATCCCTGCAGTGCAGAAAGAAGCCATTTAGCCCATCAAGTCTGCACCAAACCCTCCGACAAGTATCCCACCCAAACTCAGCCCCTTAACCCTATCCCCATATCCTCAGATTTCCCATGACTAATCCACCTAACCTGCACATCCCTAGAAACTATGGACAATCCACCTGCACATCTTAATGAGGAAGAGAGAAGGGCAGGGAGATAGAGAGGCGTGGAGAAGGAATTCTAAATCTTAGGGTTGTGGCAATTGATGACATGGCTGAAATTGGTGGAGTGATTAAAACTGGTATTCTGAAGAGGCCAAACATTGGAGGACATTGCATCAGCAGGATGTTGGGCTGGAGGAGATTGCAGAGACAGCCCCTCCATGACCTTGATTCTGGCTATGAAAATTTTAATAATTGAGCCATTGTTAAAACAATGTAGGTCAGTGTGCTCAAGGGCATCAGCTGTATAGGATTTAATACTAGGTAGAAATTTTAATGATTTATAACTTCAAAGGATACAATGTCAGACACTAACCATTTGGTATAGTTAAGTCTAGAAACAAAGCCGTGGTTGAGAATTTCAGCAGAGGTGAGTTGAACACGTTACAAAAGGAGGTAGAAGTAGGTGGTTTAGTGACTGTGTGAACATATAGCATGGGGAGTGAATGAAGGCAAAAAAAAAAATCCTTACAGCAAATTTGTAAGCAAAGTTAGAACACATGGAATAAAATAGACAGTAGCAAATGGATACAAGACTGAGTAAGTGATAGAAAACAGAATGGTGGTTAATGGATGTTTCATAGGCTGGTACAAATTGGAATTGTCTGGGGATATGTATTAGGATCCCTGCTGTTCCCAATACATATTATGTTCCAGCTGTACAGGACATTGGTTAGGCCACTTTTGGAATACTGCATTCATTTCCAGTCTCCCTGCTATAGGAAAGATGTTGTTAAACTTGAAAGAGTTTCAAAACAACATTTACAAGGCTGTTGCCAGGGCTGAAAGTTTGAACTATAGGAAGAGGTTGAATAGGTTGGGACTAGTTTCCCCTGGAGCATCGGAGGCTGAGGGGTGACCTTAGAGGTTCATAAAATCATGAGGGTCATGGTTAGGATGAATAGCTAAGGTCTATTTTGCCCCAGGGTAAGGGAGTCCAAAAATAGGAGAGCATAGGTTTAAGGTGAGAGGGGAAAGATTTAAAAAATAAAAAAAAGGGACCAAAGGGGGCAACTTTTTCATGCAGAGGATGGTGTGTGTATGGAATGAGCTGCCAGAGGAGGTGGTGCAGGCTGGTACAATTACAACAATTAAAAAGCATCTGATGGGTATATGAATAGGAGGGGTTTAAGAGGGATATGGGCCAAGTGTTGGCAAATAGGACTAGATTAATTTAGGATATCTGGTCGGCGTGGACGAGTTGGACCAAAGGGTCTGTTTCCGTCTGTACATCTCTATGACTCTAATAGTGACTTGTAGCCCGATGTATGGGACACATTTTCAAAATATGCAGAGGATATAAAACTTGGAAGTATTATGAACTGAAGTAGGGACTGTAGAAGTTCAAACAAAAACAGGATTAGAAAAAAAAAAGTGTTAGAAAGCACAAATGAAATTTAATGCATGAAAGTATGAAGTGAGTCAAATCACTAGAGAGCGATATGATCGATATGACAAGGGATACAGGAGCAGAGGACGAACAAGTGCCTAAATCATTGAAAGTGGCAAGATAGGCAAAGAGCATGTTTAAATCATATAGCATCCTGAACTATGCTAAAAAGGGGAGCATACATAAGTAAGTGGTTTTTAAAAAAAACCTTACATCCAGGTCTGAGCATCAGATTTTAGGAAAAATGTTAAAATATTCAGCACAGTGCAGGAAAGATTCTTAAGCATGGTTAGAAGGATGAGGAACTTCAGTTGTGCAGACGAATTGGAGACGTTGGGACTGGTTTCCTTGAAAGTACGAGATTTGTTTCCTGCATTTGCGGGAGAGAGAGAGAGAGAGAGAGAGCGCGAGCGAGGTGGGTGCATGTGGTGGTGGTTGTGGGCAGTAAGTACACACAGGGGGAAAATTCTTTTCACTGCTGGAAGAATCAAGAACCACAGAGCACAGATTTCAGGTAACTAGCAAAAGCAACATGAGGAAACTAATTTCTCAGAGTTAGTGGTTATTATCTGGATTATTCCACCTGGGAGGTGTGGTAGAGGCAGGTTCAAATCGAGGCACTCAAGGGGTAGTTGTATTAGTATCTGATAAAGCAAGACTCTGAGGTCACAAGGAGAAGGTGGGGGGAGTAGCACTAGGTGAACAGCTCCTTAAGGCACCCAGCACAGACTTGACAAAGAAAATAGCCTTCTGTAATATTTAACTATTCTTTCACGATCTCAATTGTTGCTTCCACATGCCTCATTTGCATCAGTTGAGTAAAGCCAATAATACTTTGTTACCCAATAAACCAGCCTCTATAAAATGCACATATTATAGAATTGCACAGCACACAGAGAAAGGGTTCTTGCAAAAACAATTATTGACACAATAAGAAATATCCATATCCATATCCATATCCATAGAACTCTCCCAAAGACATAAACCAAACTCTACACAATCCCACAAACAAACATAGATCACAAACTCCCGCACATTCAAAATACTTAGTATATATTTTGTGGTGATCAGTTACCAAAGCCACACTATGTTGTCATTAAAGATCAGACGTAAGATATTATTATTGTTGGGACTCTACTCACTGGAGTTCAGAAGAACAACAGGGAATCTCATTGAAACGTAAAAGGATTCTTAAAGGGCTTGGCTGGGTAAATGCTGAGAGGATATTTCCCCTCATGGGAAGAATCTAGAACCAAAAGGCTTAGTTTCAGAATTAAGGGGTGCCAATTTAAGACTGAGATGTGGAGGAATTTCTTCTCACAGGATTGAGTGTCTTTGGAACTCCTTGCCACAGAGAGCTATGGGGCAGAGTTCTTGTGTGTATTTGAGGCTGGGATAGATTCTTGATCAGTTGGGGAATCAAAGGTTGAGGAAAATGCAGGAAAGTGGGTGTGAGGAATATTGGATCAGCCATGATCCTATTGAAGGGACAGCAGGCTCAAGGAGCTAAACAGCCTACTCCTGTTCCTAATTTTTAAAAGAAACTAAAACTTAATACCATATCTTCTGACTTCAAACTGGTTAAAAATAAACTCAGTCCATTATTATTTTCTATAGTTCTTGCGGCTACAAGGGATCAAGGGGTACGTTGGAGGGCAGGATTAGGGCAATGATCAGCCATCATCTTAATGAATAACAGAGCAGGCTAGGGAGGTAAATGGCCTACTCCTGCTCCTATCTTCAATGTTTTTTTTATGTTACCTGTTCAGCACCCACACAAGGAACAATGTAAATATGCCTAGAAGAGTTATCACTGGGTGAAATCAAATGCGCACTGGTGACCTAGGGTGTGAAAGAGGGACTCATTGGTGGGGAGAAGAGGTGAAAAAGTGTAACCAACATCAGTTGAAGACTGTAGGCACTCAGAACTCAATGACAGCCTTCAAAAAGACATATAATTCGAGGGCTTTTAAATTTCATAAGCATGGGTTAAACAAGGACTTGCAGTTGAGCTGCCTGGCAAGTGAAAAAGACTTCATAGCCTGGATCTACAGAACACTCAAAGACAGTCCCAGCTGAGAAACTGAAGCTACCTCAAAAAAAAAGTACCAAACCTAGTTCCATGTTTTCTCCCAGGGTATGTGCACATACCAAGCAAATGCATCTGTTGCCTGGCCCTAAATGCCCTGGAGAATTTGTTGGGGAACTGACCTCTTTAGCAGCAACAGTCCAGGGGTGTAAGGCCATCCACAATTCCATCAGGGAATTCCAGGATTTTGATCCAGTGACAGTGAAGGATGGTATAGTTCCAAGTCAGGATGATGAGCAATTTGGAAGGGAACTTTGTAGTTGGTAGTGTTCCACCTGTCTGCGGTCTTTGTCCTTCTGGGTGGTAGAAGTTGTGGGTTCGGAAGGGAGCTTTGGTGAGTTGTGGTACATTTTCTGTCTGGTACACAAACTGCCACTGTATGTTGGGAGCGAAGGAAGTGCACACTCCAGGTGATGAATGGATTGTCTGAGCCAGTAGCTCCAGGTTCCTCCCAAGGGTTGAATGGCCATGGACAATGTATTGGTAACACTGCCACACAAGATGACTATAAACATGTAAACATTCCAATATGCCTTTGGCAAGAGCAGGTGTCTTCTGGTCAGCCATGCTTGTAGAGAAATGGCATCTCTCAGTATAGTCTTTGGCACGAGTTGGTAACCTCTTCCCAGGAAGAGGTGAAACAGCAATAACCGTGTGCAGCATCTCCCTCACATGCCACTAGACACAGAACGTAAGCAAGGAAAGAAGAATTGGGAAAAATGGCCAAAAACACTTCACAATCTGTACTTTTACCTTCACTGTCAAGTTTGTCAGTGGTCTAAACCTTTCAAACTCCCTATCCAGGCCTCAAAGTGGGCAGTAGTAAAATTGGAACACAAGTTTTAGACTGAGTTACTGCTGATAGAGAAATAAAGCCCAAGAACACACAAGTCCTCAACCAGAACATAAGAGTAGGCCATTCAGCTCCTCCAGCTTATTCAAAATGCCATTCAAATGAGATCATGGCTAATCTGTGGCCTAACTTCATATATGTACCTTTGACACATATCCCTTAATACATTTGCTTAACAAAAAAAGTCTCAGATATAAAAAAAAAAATCAATAAATGGTCTAGCATTGTCAGTAGACAAACAGAAAAGGCAGTGACCTGATGAGTTCCTGGTGACTTATCACCCTATATTCCACAATGTCAATCTGGGCTGCTTTAATTTCAAGAGTTGTTTTAACATTTTAAGAGTTAAATTATGAAGACTGATTAGGAGGAGCGAACTGATTCCTCTCTCATCCCTCTCCTTCCAGACTGTATATAGTTCAGGTGTGACAACCATGTCACCAAAGTTCTTTTCCTCAAAAAAAATACTCTAGTCTAAAGCAAACAAAATTCACTCAAGCAAAATTTACAATCTTCGTTGTGCAAGTCCGTGATATGTACAGGTCTAGTCAATATTCAAAATTAATATTTCAGATAATTCATCTCCATTACAACAGGTAGATGTAAGCACTGAGTGACTGTGTAAATTATATACAAGTTAGCAACTGGCAGATTAAATAAAAAAAAGTTAAAAGAACAAAAACTAGAAGAAAAAATACTGGAAGTAAATCTTACCATTGATGATGCATTATCTTGGAAAACAACCAAAGGATTTATAACCGTAGTATCTCCAAAAGGAAGTGTATTTAAATCCTGAGTACGTATATCAGTACAAATTGTTTTGGATACACTTGGTTGGTCTCCTTTATTGTTATATTCATTGTATGTATTATTTCCCACAATTCTAGACAGAAGAACATTA